AGTTCTGGTGATAGGTTTTGCCAATGGAACGCCACTTAAGTGCTAGTTTATCTCGTCGTGTAGTGATATTCAACATCCGCAACCTTATCACTGCTCCTGGTCGTGTCATGAGGATCACTTGTATAACAATATACAGGGTGTCCCAAAAGTATGTATACACTGTTTAATCACTGTTCAATATCTCTCTTCCCAAGGAGTCTTTTATCTACCTTAAGGTACCATTTTGTAGAGCTGGCTTCAACTTACATAGATTAACAGTGCCTCTAACTAATTCTAGATTAACAGTGACCCCCGGTCTCTCTTAGATACTGTAGGATTATGGTAAAAACTTTTGACTTACATCGTCATTGTGAATCAATCGTGTTTCAAAAACGTTTCCAAAAATTCCAAAAAATGGTGAACCAGAGACTCTACGTGCACCGATTTCAGTACTCAACTTTCTAGGAGTTTACAAAGCTTTTGAAAGGGTGTGACTGCAATTTTAGAAAGCATCGCAAAAACAGCTGTTACGGTTTACGGGGCATAAATCATAAAGGAAGCATCGCGGTCAAACGCGAATTTCATGTTTGGTTTTGACGACTTTAATTAGCCTAGTGTAAGAGTTCCCAGATTGTTTGGTTTGCTTTCTAAGGCGAAATAGGGCTCTCAATGGCTAAAAACCCTTCTTGAAGTTTCTACCGTGATCATACAGTAGTGAATGAAGATAGTTGATTCGCTCCATGCTGCAGATCTAAGTTGAAGCCTGCTCTACAAAATGATGCCTAAAGGCAGGCAAAAGACTTCTAGAGAAGAGAGATGTCAGCGATCAAAACAGTGTATACATACTTTTGGGACACCCTGTATAATGTGCAGGGTTTCGTGAAGACTCCGTTGAGATTTACGACGAGTGCCAAATGCCCCGTCGGCTCTGGTCTATCTCCTCTGCTCGTCTGCGTCTTCGCGCGTTGCCCGTTACCTCTCTACCCCAAACGCGGGGCGGGGCATTTGGCTCTGGTACCCTTTTCTTCGTTGTTTTTGAATGTTTGTGTTTGTTGCCCTAAAGAGGGTAGTCGGCAGTGGCGGGGGCCGAGAAAAACGTGCACGTGACTTGTTTATACTAGCAATTAATAGAAATTTCTCAAACTGTAAAGATTTTTTGGGACATGGCCATCGCCATGCCTTCTTTTCTCTGAAATTTCGGGGCCAAAGAGCCGCAAAAGTTTTGGAAAGCAGTCCAAAAAAATTTTGCTGCCTACACCAAGCGGATTTCTTTAATCGCCACCATCGTCAGGTTAGCCTGGAGTCATCAAAAAGCCTCATTCTCCAAAATCGTAGGGAATTTTGAGGCCGTATATACGTCCAGTGCGATGATGGCCTTGCTTGTATTAGGTGAGACAAGTTTCTGAAAGTGACCGGACCGTCGACCTTCAACGAGTCCCACCCTCCTTCCCCCCCCCCCCCCCTTCGGTCGACGTTTTGCTTGAGGAGCAGCTTCGGTCTCCATTTTCAAGGGTTAGTAGCCCGTTCGAACTACCTTCAACTGGGGAAGTAAGGAGGGGGGGGGGGGGAAGGGGGAAGAGTGGTTAAGGCTCCCAATCGCATCTCTTGTAAGATTTACTTCTGCAGCACGTATGGTGTGTTACAAAACACTTCAAAGCGTATCACGAGTTGTAAACGTGTAGAGTTAAATAAGAGTTTACAAATCTCTAACATTTTTGATTTCAACTTTTTTTTCACATGCATGTTGTTTCCTGCTTAATCGCAGTCAGCCAAGGTTGAGGAACTTTCTCCTATTTTTTGATAACTTAAATTTTTCATTTTTAAAAATGTCTCGAACCAATTTGTAAATCTTAGGCTCCCGCCAGAGTGCCGAAGTTATGCCAGCGCTACGCCAGCATTTCGATCGATACACGTGTATTTCGTTGGGGCGGGGCTAGCCGACGTTTCCAACGAAGTACACGGTATCGATCGAAATGCTGGCGTAGCGCTGGCATAACTTCGGCACTCTGGCGGGAGCCTTAAAGGCAGTGTCCGGGCAAAATGGGGGTTCTGAGATTTCTCTGCCATGTGAAAGTAGCCCCCCCTGAGACACAACATCGCGCAACTGTGAGCATAAAACGTTCGACCTAAAGCAAGAAAAACGATTGCAAATTGGGGAAACTTACGCCTTGGGGCGGGGTCCTCCGAGTTGTTTGAATTCCTGCCAGACGGCAGAGTACGTATGCCGCCACAGTTAAAAACCGTGCGCTCTTTGCAACCTCTGCGTCTTAGCCTGGCGGGGATCCCCAAATTTCGAAATGTGAGGACTTGGAAAATGCATGTTCTCGCCGTTTTCGCGCCTTCTGATGTGGATTTTCGGATTCAGCGTTGCGGATAACCCCAGATAAGTTGATTTTTTAGAAGTCGAGTTTCTGCCCGGACATACCTTTAAGAGCACGCGAGTTACATGTTCATGTTATTTTTCTACCACCAACATCTTTTATAATACTTTACATATATTCAAATCTGGTTTGTGTTTAGTGGTGTTTGTTAAAATTCGATGCTTTCATAGGCAAATTATTACGCATGCACAACCTCTAATTGCTTAGAACAGTTCTCTTTGTAAATCTCTATTCTGGGCTACAAGCATTTCATTTATCTTCTCGTTCAACAGCCAGTTTTTTTCCTCTCATTGTCAGTCGAGAAAGATTGGGAACACGGATTACATTGGAAAGTCAGCGTTCGCTCTTTTGGCCTCGAAAACTGCAATGCATCTCTGTGTGAGCTTTGAATTTGTGACTCTAGCATGCCTACAACATTCAGATGCTGCTAGAGAGGTTGGGGCATTTGCGTAATTTCCTAGCTCATTAGAATCCACTTCACAGATGCTAGTTACAGACATTCGCAAACCCGGGGAGATAGTACAGAAGTTCCGTGCTAATTATGTTGTACCCGTGGGAGTCTAGCTACTCTCAAGCAAAATCCTAGAATTTGCGATGTGAACCTAGCTACGTTACGCCGTTGTTTAGATGAAGAAGCAGATTCTAAAATTCTATGAATCTTGGTGTTAACCTTCCAAACTGACCCCTTGCTAAGGCTAGAATACGTTGACAACATATTCTAAGATGAATACATGTAGCGTTTGACAAGGCCAGCGCCGCGTAGTGCAATCACACACCTGCGCGCGGGCGCTATCGTATGCCGCAGCGTGCAGGGACCATGCCGCGCAAAACGGCGTAGTCCTTGATTTAGTTACCCTTTCTGCTTCTTTTTCAGCTTATTCTCCGTCCTGCTTTTGAATTTCTGAGCTCTTTCTGTTTGAAACTCTGCTTCAGGACTTTCCAATATCAATCAAAGTGTAAGCGCGCGATCGGAAGACATAATGGAGGTTTGAAGTCTTTCAAAAAAGATGTAATTTGAAACAACTCATTTAAGAACCGTGAGAATGACTGGTGCTCCTCCTTGCGGAAGCCACAGATAAGTTTTTTTTGTGAAAGCTTCCGCATTATTCTAATGAGCCCATTACATGCCATCAGATGTTTCAGGATATCCCTCGCGTTGGACAAATCAAGCCACTGCTGCACTTCTTCGCTCTGAAATGGTATACCCCCCTTTTCTTACTACTTTAAACTTTTCCCTATATTTATCTCTCTCACCCTAATCATGAGTCTCCAGGGTGAGATGATCGGAGCTTTTGGTGTCTGAGGGTGAGAGGCGATACATCACTTTTGCGTAATCAACATCGCTGCTGTATGCGGATGCGAGACCGCTAGAAAGCTACGTTGCGTTAGTGTTCAGACATGCTTTTCCTCGGTTTGCCTATACCATCACTTTCCTGCACGGACAATCAATTTTAGTTTGAACATACAAATCTACCGCAACTGAGTGTCCCCTCAGTCTGACAGAGGTTCAACAAATCTCATATCGCTCCGAAACAGTGGTAGGGATTTCAGCAGGTTTTCTGAGAAGCTTTTTGACCATTACTTTTTTGTTATCCAATTTTCAAACCTAAGAGTTATTCATCCATCACATATCACTTCGATTCGTAGTCGTTACTAACGCTCGCGAGCGCAGGTGCTGTAGTGTGGGAACTTTGAAAGATTCCTCACCCTCATGACCTTGCACTGGTGTTCTGCTTGGTTCTTGCAGATTTTGTTACGCACGATTCTGTACTTTTCCACAATATACAGTTCTATCCTATATGAAATGATAGCCATCCAAAAAACAAGAGAACCGATTTTCAGGTTACTAAGGTCACGTGTGACATACGAAGAAAAAGTACTACTTGCGAGCGTCGCTATACTGACCTCATTCACTCGATAGAAGGCTCAAGGACACGCAACATCAGACAGCGCTACAAACTCAGTCCGCAAGCGAAAGCTGTTGTCAGCCGTGTTAGAGAATTTTTCGAAAAATTAAAACTTGCGATGAAGGGTACATGAGCCCATGCAATTTTTGACAGACCCAGAGATCTAACGGCACTGGCTTGCGATGTTTCTGCGAGCACGGTCAGTCGCACGCCGCAAAATTTGCATAATCGAACAGGAAAAAGCGCCAAGCCTGCTGTAAGCAGAAAACAGCGGCGTCTAATTACACTCAACAAATACAAAGAAGAGTGGGGCGAAGTTATAAAAAAAGCAATACATGAGAAACTTAAGAACGAAGAAGACGTCACCATCACTGACATGCACTGCCAACTATGGTCAGAATACGAACGGTTTTCGCGAACCACCCTCTATGTGCTCGTTAGAGCACTTGGTTTCTCCTACAAAATAAACACTAGAGGGCAAAAATTTATATTTGAGCGATCGGATTTAGTCGCAAAGCGTGTGAAGTACTTGTCCGACATCATCGAAGCGCGAAGTCGTGAGATTCTCTTATATATATGGACGAAACATGGATTTTTGGAGGGATGGTTAAGAAAAAGATGTTGGAATGAGGACAATATTCCACGCTTTGCCCCAAAAAAGATTTTCGATAAATACTCCTACGGGAGAAGTGCAGGGAAAAATAAGGGCCTGAGGGCCATAGTTATTGGAGCTATGGCTAAGAACGGTATACTACCAGGCTGCACCAAGCTGGTCCTTTGTGGCAAAAGGGACGAAGAATATGATTACCACCAAGATATGGACCACCAACTCTTTGAGCAGTGGCTGGAAAACTCAATACCGCATATGCAAGAGTGAGCAGGAGAGAGGCGCGTAGCTTTAATCATAGATAACGCCCCATATCACAGTAGACAACTGCTCAAAGTCCCCACGGCTCGCTCTACCAAAAAATGCATAAGCGATTATCTGGTAGCAAAAGGAGTAGCAATAGGCAATAAGAGCACAAAATTCAGTCTTTTGGCAGAGGTAATTTTTCGTTCACTTTCACATCGGATACAGTAATTGTTCTTCTAACTCTTTAGCTTCAACTCTTCATGGCTTCGAAAGGTGGTTTGAGCGCTGTCCGCGAGTACGCAGTTGACCGTAGGCGCAGTGAAATGGGCGTCAATTTTATAAGACTGCCTCCATTCCACTGCATGTTTAACCCCATAGAGTTATGTTGGGGACAAATGAAAGCACATCTCACCAAACACGGTAAGACCACCGACAGACTGGGAATGGTAAGAGAATCAACTGCTTTCACGTTTTCTTCACGAAACTGATTGTTAGGTTAAAACACGTGCAGTGGAATGGTTGGCCAACGTGCCTTCATCATTGACAGAATCGTGGTTCCGTGAAGCTCGTAAACTGGAAAATGCCGCGCGACAAAAACAGCACGACGACAGTCTTGCCGACGAGATTTCTGGGGATAATTCCTCGGAATACAGCAGCGAGATAGACGATTTGGAGCTGGAGGAAATAGAGAGTGATCTTGAGTTAGAAGAACTAGAGAGTGACCTCGATTTGGAAAAAGTAGAAGATTAACGGTTTTGAATGTTAATTGTAGCCTGTCATGCATGATAATATTCAATAGAAAGAAATATTTATAACAGTGGAAATACATTTGAACAAAAAACAACGCTTACTCTTTCAAGTTCTTGTCATAAAGTATTCTAAACCGTGTACAAGTAGTTAGGCTCGTCTTTAATGGTATCTACCAGCAGCAAAAAGTGTTCGCACTACTGCGATCACTGCGATGCGATGAATATGGGAGACACGTACACATCTTCTGAAAAGAAAAAGAAAGTGAAAAACAACAAAATTATTTGAAAAACATATAACAGGCACCGCACGATGAACAATTGACATGAATGCGAACCAGCGTGAAAGTGTGATATCAGCGCATTGGCGCTGCTCTTTCAAGCCTAAACACATAAGATCAATTCAGTGAAGCACGAGCCGATATAATGAATGATGACATCGAAACCTACAACTATCCGAAGAGATCCTGGATAGATGAAAATGCCATTGTGATGTAAAACGCTCACCAGCACACAAAATACATTCAAAAAACAACAAAGGATTGATACTTCCTTCCTTTACAAGGAACAAAATCGTATCCGGAAACAAGAGAGATCGTATATGACCACAGACGAGCATAGATACAAAAAGAAATGACAGCTAGAAAAAAATGACGAAATACGACGACCCGGCGACGACAAAAAACAAGGCGCGATTTTGCGCGCAGCATGGTCCCTGCACGCTGCGCATACGGTAGCGCTCGCGCGCAAGTGTGTGACTGCACTACGCGGCGCTGGCCACGTCAAACGCATTGTAAATATTAGCGCAATTATTTTGAGTTGAACAATGCCAAATTGCTGGCTGAAAAGTCCTTGTTGCGGCAAAGTGAATTACCTTGTTCTGAGCGTTTTGTATAGACTAGCAGTATTTGAATCCGAATCACTGACGATAAGAGAACATATGCAGTGAATACGTTCGAAGCGCTGATCGAGTCTGCCTTCGTAGATAACGAGCGAATTGGGCAGCTTTATAGCGTAAGCAAATGAAAGCAGTGAGTCAGTGTCTACTCTCTATGTGTGCTAACTGTTAAAAGCTCTATATTTGAAACCAAGTTTCGAGCGTCTGCGGGCTTCGACGAACATTATTCATAGGTTTGAAATAGGTCTTTACACACGCTAATAACCTCTTATACTCACTGCTAGAAAAAGCGGAGTGAAGTCCACTTTATAAGTTTGTGCACTTGTATTTCTTTCCCAAATCTCCACTGCAACTCTATTATTTCTGTTTCATACTGGGGATTTTCTACAGTTATCCTTAACTAGGTTAACCGAATTCAGTGAAACAAAAAAGGATATATATCTCTTGTCCTTGACCTGCTTATTGCCTTGAAAAAAGTTTATAACTGAATCTGCATCATTTCGCAGTGAGAAAGAACGTTTAGAATAACGTACAGTTCATTGCACTGCATTTATCTAAACTTGCCGTTACTCAAATTTCTAGACTTACAAGAGAAGGATGGTTAGTCGAAGTGGACTATCAAGATCGGATGTATACCATCTTGAAATACATAAATCGCTGATTCCAAATTTGTCCTTATTTGCGGCATTCCTAGACGAGAGGTTATGAGCTTTTGTTGGATTGAAAAGTTAGGTGAAATTAGGCTAAAAATAGGCGTAGCTTTTTCTATTGCTTATAGGCAGTGTCCGCGCAAAAACTCGATTTCAAAAAAATCCACTTACCGGGGTCATCCGCATCGCTGAATCCGAAACTTCACATTAGAAGGCGCGAAAACGGTGAGAACATACGTTTTGCAAAGCCGCACAATTTGATAACGACAGTCCCCACCAAGGCAGAGACGCAGAGTCGCTGCGGGACCCTACATTTTAACTGTGTCTGCATGCCTACTCTGCCGCATTGCAGGATTTCGGACAGCTTGGAGGACCCCACCTCAAGGCGTAAGTTTCCCCACTTTCCGGTCGTTTTTCTTGAAGGCAGCGTCCCACCAGATTAGGGGTACCTGGCTCTCGTAATGATGTAATAGTAGACCCTCCATCTAAGCGATGACTGAAGTTCGGAGCGAAAAAGGGGGACTACCAAGCCTGAAATTTGCTCCGATAGTGGGCCATCTTACGGTAGGGCTGAACGCCGCCCACCCGGCAATATCGATTTGCAGGACCAGAGTGCGTATAGCGCACACATCATGAGCGCAGGGATCCACAACCACTCTGCGTCTCTACCTTGCATACACCTCGCACTCGCCCGAGCCTACCGTAAGGTTCGTCCCACTTTCGGAGCAAATTTCAGGCTTGGTAGACCCGCTTTTTCGTTCCGAACTTCAGTCATCGCTTGCGTAGGGGGTCTACTATTACATCATTACGAGAGCCAGATACACCCAGTCTGGTGGGACACTGCGTTTAAGGCGGAGCGTTATGACTTGCACTTGCGCGATGTTGTGTCTGAGGGTGGGCCACTCTCGCGTGGCACTGGAATCCCAAAGCCCCCATCATGCTCGAACACTGCCTTCAAACGGAGCAGTGATAATTGAGCACTTTGTGCGATGGATACCTTCATATGAAATCTAACCACACTATTGCCTTATTTGAGCGATAAGAAGATTTAGCAGTCAATTTTATCGTTGAAACATTCAATTTTGTTGTCCATCGTTTTCATCTTTTTAGTAAAATACATGGTGTTTTTGTAGTTTTTTCGTAGAGTTTCTTGTGAATATCGTTTTGCGACGTGATATACCTATGTAAATCATTCGGAAGACTATTCTTGTTTTCCAACTTTTATTACTTTTCTAATAAACGCTAGTGCGCTCTGACTTTTGACAAGAAGTGGAAGTTTTTGAAATGCAAAATTGGCATTTTTCGCACTTGCTTTTTGCTCCGCATGTGGGAACCACAAATACAAATTACTCATCCTGAAGCCTCTTGCTGATAAGAAACCTCTAAAGCGCATTTTTACCATATACTAGCTGGCTTACCCGGCTCCGCCGTATGTTCCAAATAGAAAATTCCATTTCTTAACCGATCCGGACCAAACTTGGCACACATACACTTCGGGCCCCGGCGGGTGTCACAGTCCACTTTTCGTTATCGATCGATGTCGATTTTATCGATTTTTTGCAAAATTTGAGCTACGGGGCTGGGAGTTGGTACGGGGGGTGATCAGCATGCTCGATTACCCCCTGTGCCAACTCCCAGCTCCCTAGCTCAAATTTTGCAAAAAATCGATAAAATCGATATCGATCGATGACGAAAAGTAGCCTATGACACCCGCCGGGGCCCGAAGTGTATGTGTGCCAAGTTTGGTCCCGATCGGTTCAGAAATGGAATTTTCTATTCGGAACATACGTACAGACAGACATACATACAGACAGACAGACAGACAAACAGACATTCACTCAGGGATTCGCGCCGTGCGTGCGGTCCTCATTAAAGCCCCTCCGCCTGAGCGCACTGCATAGTTTTTGATGTACCTGCGTGCGGTCAACAATAAAAATGCCGTGCAAGCGGAAGACAGTCTACCCGTTCGATCGGCACGCAATAAAATTGACCGTGCAAGCGGCAGGCAATGTGTCCGTTCGATCGGGCGGCAAACATTTGCCCGTGCAAGCGGCCAACAGTGACCTCTACCTTCGGCTCATTGTTTTCACACACTGTGAGCGTAAACGGTACCTGCATGAGATACGACGCAGCGTTTAGGCTGGCTAAGCGTCGACTATCGTGTTATCAACATTTCCCTTCACCGCAAAGCTGGAATGAACCTGCGTGAGGCTACAGTTATCAAGAGTGATGGTGTGGGCTTCTCCATGGAAAGTTTGGGTAGTGCGGCAGGCATTAGCCCGTGTTCGCAGGATGTGAAAATGCTTAAGTACCTAATAAAAATGGTTAAAATACCCCATATAAACCTACTCCAGCAGCAAGCGAGCGGCCGACCTTCCCCGCGCAAGCGGCGAGCATTAGAAACCGCGCGGGCGCCCCACGTTAACCGTGCTAACGGCCCTTGACGACCGTACAATCGCACACACCAACGAGCGATTGTAAGTTCGTCGCTGGCCGCCCGCACGGTGCGAGTCCCTGAGCAGCTTTATATATAAGATGTAGACTTGAGTTTGTTAGGATTGGGTGTGTGTGCCAAGATGAACGGTAGCTGCAAATGAGCTTACTCCTGCTACGTTTGCCAATCGCAATCAATCGTCTTTTTTGGAGCAATATTTCCATTGCTGGATCGGAAGTATCAAAAAGTAAAGACTAGGGCCCATTGAGCTCTCAACGTTTTTCCAAACTTCTCAATACCATAATAGCAGATATGTAATTTGAAGGAAATTCGACCTACGCAATGCATATGGGTGGCACAAGCTATCATTTCATGTTGTTGTTGTTCATTCTCTACATTGGAGATTTTTGGGAATGCAAAAGGTAAACGGATGTAGTTTGCATTTAGCCATGTGCACCACTTTGACTGGCTAATCACTGATAGTCCAATCTCAGGATCGGGACATTCTGTCACAAATATTGCGCAAACTCAAGAGCTAGAAAACAGCGTCTATTCAGACTTTGTTTGAGCAATTCTTAAGATAATGGCGTACCGTTATTTTGTCAGTATATCAGTATACTGGCTTTGTCATCAATAGCTCTTGCGCCTCTTTTCAGCAAAGCAATGCAGAATAGAAATTCCGGAATCGCCAGTTTTTGCCTCTAAATTTGTGTACTCATGAAACAAAAGCATCAGGTCTGCATCGGAGGTAAGAAACAGATTTTGTAGAGCAAGATTGTCTCATCCATCTTGCAAGTGTATTGACGTAAACCATAGCTTATTAGCAAACGCTACACTTATGAATTAATCTAATATTGATATTCAAATTCAATGCGATACGATCACAACTCGAGTCTTTATACGTTACGACGATTGTAATGTATGAAAGACTGAAAACACCAGAACAACTCAACAAAGCGCGTCGGCTAAAGATAAGGGTTTGAATTTGCCTTGCGTACTCGTGCAACCGTTTATGCAGTCTA